GGGAAAGGATACATCGGATGTGACAAAATCCACATTTGCACAACAGGCCACCCGCACTTTCTTCAGCATGGTTGCAGCTTGCACGCTTTCCCCAAGGGACCCGTTACCGGGATTTTAATGAACGGATTCCAGCTAGCCTCCGTTTGTTGGGTTTAAAGGAAATTCATCACTACTTGAAATGTTTTTATTTTTTCCTTGGGCCTTAACCAAATGGACGATTTGTTGGTCCTCAAATGGACTAAGGCCAAGAGCCACAAAGCCCTCTTTTTGGAACGGGAAAGGACACATGGGAGGCACCTGAAGACAGCCAAAGGCGACGCGGTTGTAGGGTTTCGCCGCAACATCGGGGTCCCTATATTTCCTGTTAAGGGGTGGCTTGAAACATCGCTTGGTCCATTCAAGCTGGGCTTCCCTTTTTAGGGGTGATGCTGAGAGGAAATACTGGGGGGACCCTGCAGCACAACGACTCACTGAAGGCACAGGCATCAGCGTAAATGGGAAAAGCTTCCAAGCAGCCAATCAGAGGGGAATCTGGTTCTATGAGGGCTTTAAAGAACCAAGAAAATACCCTCGAGAAAGAGCAGTCCCATAGCTGTTTTTGGAGCAACATTTTTCTCGCAGCGTTTACTCCGGCACCACTGGATTGCAATGCTAAGTGTACAAGGAGTGAGCAGCGACATTGAACATCTTCCTGCAGCAGCGACACAGAAGGAATCGCCTGTGCGTTTAGTCAGGGTCCTCAAGTGTACAAACGCTTATGCATTACATATATCATTCAGCTTGGTGTCTCTGCCCCGATAGGCTTTGGGGCTTGGGAGGGTGCAAAAGGAGGATTCCAGCGGGTTCCGGGGCTGTTGAGTCCGGGTATCACCTTAGCTTCTCGTTCCAGGGTCAGTTTGGTTGGACATCATTTAATATTCCGCCGGTAGATCTGTTTGGTTCTACTGAGATCCATTCCTTTAAACGGACGCTGGACATTTCTGGAACCGGTAAAACAAGAAGAAATGGCAGGCGACACGAGGGCTTTCTTGTTTCCCGCTTAGAATGTAAATTTTGATTGGGGGCCTTCTTGGGGACATTTCGGCGGGAATACATTTCCACCAGAGGCCATTTTGAGTGCATTCCCCATTGGAAGGTGGCTCAAAATTCAAGAGCCAGCGGAGCACAGGGGTGGGTCTACTTTTCCATCTTCTAGGGTTCCATTTGGGGCTCCTAGTTTTGCGCCACACCAATTGGCTGTGGGTCAAAACCAATGGTACATTTTGGAGTAGGTGCACCACCCATTTTAGTCTATTTTAGTGGGGATTGGGATGTTCACTGGGGTACGGCCTTTGGATGGCAAGAATGGTCCCAAGCCTTTCCCGAGAAGGTGAGCCGTGAGCGCGAATGCGTGCCGGGGCCTTACTGCTTGTTTTTGGGCGTGTCTTTTTTTTGGGGACCCTCCAACATGGTGGTGTTCCTCTTGGTTTCCCTTTGAACGACACATAAAGGGGTATCCTCCAAAAAAACAGACCCTTTGGCGTTTGTTTCCAAAGGAAGAGAGGAGCTGAGTAAGGCATCATCTGAGCAATTGACAAGACATTGATGCCCAAGTTTCCCACAAGCAAGGGGACACCCCAGTTGTACCATGTCTTGCGCGGGGAACAAAAAACAAACAACGAGTACTGTCCGTGGGTCATGTGTGTTTGGGCATTTTGCCAAACATGCTTGGGCCATCCAAGCGCCATCCGGAGTTTTTTTTTGCCATCGGGCACGTGAGTTCCCTGAACTGCCCTCGGGACCTGAGGTTCAGGCGTCGCATCCTAAATGTTTCTTTGCTGCAGCGGATCTGCTTTGGCTCGTCTTTGTTTTGTGTCATGTTGGTTTTATGAGGCCAAAAGGCGATTTCAGTGGAGGGTCTCATCTTGTTTGGTGTGTGTGTGTGTATGGTCTACTAGGATGCATGTCTTTTGCTTCATTTACACAAGCTCATGTCCAGAGGGTCTACAAAGCGCCCCTGGCACGAGTGATTTGCTGGATTGGGCAGAATTTGAATTTGCGGCGCGGGCCTTCGAGCAAGCCGTGCCTGAGGTTATTCTGTGAACAGAGAGAAGCACAGCCCGGCTGGCGTCGTTCTACGCCGCACATCGGCACTTTTGTGACCCTGGGCCGAGGGACCTCCATCGAGACTTGGACGCGCGCGCAGACCCAACCAGCAAACACGTCACACGTTTCGCGGCAAAAAAGGGGTTTGCGGGTTTATGGTTCTGGAGAAACCGGGTGGGGTGCTTTGAAGTGCCAAGACATATCCTTTGCAAAGAAATCAGAGATAAGGCCTACTTCGGTATAACAGAAAGGCAATGAAAGCTCAAGAAGGCTGGCGAAGAAGCTTGGCAAAGGAGGGTTCCAACACATCAACATTGGCGAAGCATGCATGTGCTCACCAAAAGTCACAGAGAATCCAGCACACAAAATCTGCGGTGCAGTGGGCCAAATCTGATCTTCCCGACCCCCCCGGCCGGTAGTTGTGCTACCTGCGGCGGATGTTTCGGACAATACCAAGCTTTGGTTGACGTCAGACTTCAGAACCTTTCCCTTCAGTTTGTGTCTCTTTTGAGGGGACCCTCCATTTTTTTTGCTTTCCCTTTTGGTTTCCCTTGAAAGCTGCCCCAAAAGGGGTACCCCAAACAAAGACACATCCATTTTGTGGAATGGCTCATGTTAAAGGCTTCCTTTTGGTGCCCCCAAAAAGAGACTTTTGCTTCGGGATTCGATTTCACCTTAGGATCAGCGACGGTTCATAGAGCTCACCCGTGAAGGCGTTTTTGGTCTTGCCGATTCTCCTCCAAAACGATTCTAGGGTGGACTACATCTGGAACACAAAGAACATGTGTCTTGCCAAGTCGTGATCAAATAGAAATAGCAATTCGGAGAAAGTAACATCCTGCAGTTCGTGAATTAACCATATCTAAGTTGAATCGGAATCCCTTGTGGGGGCATGTGTGACACCTCGTTCCTCGACAGAAAGAAGCGCACATATGCACGAGTTGAAACATCCTCCGCAAGACGTGGGGAGAGCCATCTGGGCACGCTCCGCGAAGTGGCGGCAACTGGTAAAACTTCAAGGAGACGCATTTGGGTATGGGTCACAATTCAACCACTAGAACCACCAGGGGACCGCAGGTTTTCGTCCGTGTTTCCATTTTTCCGATCGGGTTCCATGTGAGGGTTACCCTATTTTGGCCAACCACGGCCATATGTTCGGGTCCAACGGCAAGCATGGGAGATCGAACCTTCGGAGGTTGTCATTTGAGCCAACGTCTGCCCAGAATTGGAAGGCAGGCATTGGATCTTTTAAAAGTTTCCCACAGAAGTCACGGTAACATCGGTTTTCCCATGTGGTAGGGGGGATGCACGATGCACTAAGCATTTCCAAAAGGATTTGGCCGAGGAGAAGTTGGTGATTTCCCTCTGTACACGAATGTTCCTATGCACGTGTCTTTCTTCTGGGTAATTATCCTTTTTGGGCTTGTTTTAATAGGACACCAAAGAAGAGCCACACACATGTTTGGGGAGTTCCCCTTTGGAGAATCCTTTTTCACGGTCGAACCATAGGCATTGCGCCATATTTTTGAGCAAGGAAGGCGTGAGGGTTGGACGCTGTCCGGAACCGGTGCCATATTGAGTCTTCACGGTTCTTGGCACGTGTTTGGTTTCTTGCTGTTGTTGGTTCTGTTCATTTCTAGTGTTGGCTGCAAAGAACAAACCTGTTTTGCCATACCAAGGGTTGGGAAGAAGTGAACAGGGGGCCCCAAAACGGGTTGCGATTTTGTGCATGCCAAGATCACTACTTGTCGGCGCCAAAGGGCGCCGAAAGAAAAGTTCCGCGACGTCGCGGGGTAGTCGTGCCCAGGTTGCCCCAGTCTCTTGCCCGAGGCTGCAGGTGCCGACACTGATTTGCCATGTGGCTGGCCCAAATCCTGCACCGTTTAGAAACCTGAGAATTCGATTCCCCGAGGCAAATACCAAGGAACGTTATGGTTTCAACGATGGTTTCATTGCGTGGTGCGAAATGGATTTCGCAACCATCCACAATATTACTACCCCCTTTTGATCCAAAAAAGCGAAGGCATTTGTCCTTCCAGTCGTGTCTGCACCTGCGCGCTTCGAGAGCTCGCGCGGCCACTTTGGCGCAAGCAAGGCAAAAGGGCATGCCCCTGCGACACGGAATTCCCACTCGACTCTAGAGATGGTCATTTGGGTTTCCCTACCCACCAGAATGGTTCTTGGAACCCTTCCAAGAACGCCTAAGCTTCTAACAACCCTTCCAGGGTTGTGGGGCCTGGGTTTCTCCACACCTGGCCGTCAGATCAGCTACCAGGAAAGGGGGGGCTTTGTTTTCTCCCATGGCCAATGGAGGCAAGCAAAACCTCACATGGGAGCAACACAAGCGAGCTGGAATCCCGTTTGGACCTTCGCTACGGGTGAGAAATTCAGATTTAGTCACTGTAGATGGAATTTCACCTCCGCTTCCTGGCAATTTGGCGAGTCTCCTCTGTGTTATCTATCCACTTTAGCTGCATTGAATGATGATGAATACTGTTTGTTGCTTAGGTGAGATCTGCAAACCCCACAAGCTAGATACCCCAGCAAACAAAAGCGCAGAAGGTCTGTGTTGGGACCCGGGCTTCAATAATCTGCATCTTGGAGGGTTTTACAGACAGGTGAAGAGGGGAGTGGTAGATCGCGGACCGGGATTGGCCCAAGAGGCTCCTTTTGGATGGATCCGAGCATGCTCAGCCGACCTCACTTCTTTTTCCTTACATGCACCGTGTTGTTCTAGAACGAGCTGCCATGGGATAGGCGGTACGGCTATCTGTCGTTCACCAAAATCTAACGCTGTTGGCATCCGCTCACACGCACACACACACACACAATGAAAAGCTTGGAACCCAAGGGCGGTTGATGCAATGAGCTGTTTGGCTGGCTGTTGGTCCCAGGCTAATGAAGATTTGCCACGCAGTTTTCGGCTGAAGGTCGCTTGGCCCTTCAGTCCATCCCCTGACCCCTGACTCGACGCCTGGACCGGCGTCGAAAAAAGAGGCGCGGCCAAGACGGTGGGCCCCGTTTGAAATATTACACCCCACACGTGTGTAAAAGTCATGCGTGCATGTATGTATATATATATATATATATACATGTTTAGGGATCCCCCACGCCCAAAAAACCAATGGTGGTCTTCCTTCTGGATCTCCTTTAAAGACAGAACAGGGGTACCAACTCCAAACAAACATCACACTCAGATTGTTTGTCTTTCTGTCTTTTGTGGGTAGACTAAACAACTGGTTAGCTCGGCCCCCCCCCCCAGGTGTCGCTTTGAAGCGGTCTGATCTAGCTGTCTGGTTGTCTGGTTGTCTGGTTGTCGAGATGTACCAAAAGCAAAGGACGAAACTAGACACATCTGCAACATCTTAAGATCCGAAAACCAGCATCTAAGCTACTAATATTTTACACTTGTAAATTAAAACCAACATCAGAAAACCAGCTTCTAATATTTTACACATCTGCATCTACTCCAAAACCTGAAATCAGAAGACTCGATCCCCAACCTGCAGCTGGAAACTCACCCCATCCGTGAGTTGGAAACAAAAACAAAATTGGCAGACACATGGAACATGTGACAAGCTTTTTTTAGTGTACCCCGGGATTTGGGCCAGGTAGTTGTCTAGTGTCTGTCTAACAACAAGTAAAAGATGTTTGGGCCCTCAACTAGGCTTTCTCTGCCAACCGCTGGCTCTCCTCACATTTTCCGAGAAAGACACACGCACAGACACCCAAAAAAAGGGGCGGGGTCTCCCAGAAATCGGAGACACACCCCAAAAAACGTGGGGTTCTTCCCCCCTTTCCTCTGTTTACTTGCGGGCGTCGGTGCGTGCATCGCATTTTTTGTCCCCGCGTTTGTGTGTTTGCTTCGGAGGCTCGCGCTCGCTGGATGGACACCTGCTGCGCCGTGCTGGGCCTTGGCTTCTTGTGCCTCCACGCGCACATCACCGGAGCCAGCCTCTTCGATCTGGGCGGCTGGCGATGGCGAGCAGAGGTCGGCTTACACTGTTTTGCACCCTTTTTTGTTCTTGTTTTAAGTTGTGTTTTCCTTTTTTTTTTTTTTAAAACTTGTTTGTTGTTTTTGTTCTTTCTTTATTTGTTACTTTTTTTAGCGGGGACCGACCGTACGGGTTTTTGGCCGCGGGTTGTTTTGCGTGGTTTTGCATTTTTCAGGTGGGGGAGGAAGTTTTGGACGGCTTGTAAGGGGACACCGGCAAGCAAACCAACTGGAGGGATTGCCCCTGTAGACCTCAGCCTGGTAGTCTTGGAATCAAATGGCGCCCCAGCCACACACACACACATGTGTGTATACATGTCTACATGTATGCATGTATGCATGAATGCATGTATGAGCGTGTATGTGGAGGTAACTTGCTCGTGTATTCCTGAGTTGTTAAGCGCAAAGAAAAGAGCATGTGTACACATGACAATGGATAAAACAAGCCGCGAGTCGCAAGACATTTTTTTCTCAAAATTACAGAGGAGGCGCAAACCGCAGGTTGTGGTCCATCCACTGACCGCTCGCTCGGGGGCACCCCATTTTGGGTACGAGCCACCGCCACATGCGCGTCCCGCACGTCCCGTCAGGCTGGCGAGGTGTCTGACCCCAAGGCCAGGGAGCTCCTGGAGCGAAGGGCCCAGGAGCCATCGGGCCATCGGGGTCGAATCGGTATCCGCGGAATCCGCGGGAGTGGAGCCATCGCTTGGAACAGGGCTGTGGGGCCTTGTTTGAGTGCACCCTCCCCAACAAAAAGAAAGCAAGGTCCGAAAGGGTGTTCTTTTTTTTCTGGTTTCCCTCTAGCACTGTGGATCCTGCGCCGCGCTGAAACCACAAGGTTTGTTGGCATTTTCGTTGGGGGAATCGAAGCCATGCCGTTGGGTTTCTGAATGTAGGGCTTCATGCATGCCAACTGGGTCAGCATGTTGTCCGACAGGGGGCGTCAATGTGGGAGGGAATCTGAATAACTTGCGGAAACACGTCCTATTCATCCAGGGGTCGACAGTCAACTTCGGATTAACTAGGACCATATCAATCAGGGGCAATTTTCCGGAGGACCAAAACATTGGGGGATTCTTCTCTGGATTACTCCGAAGTTGACATGAACAAGACACATTTTTGCTTGACCACCACATCCAAAAGCAGAGCGACAGGACCTTGGGTCGGGTACTGTGAAGTCGTTAAACAATAAATGTGTGTGTGTGTGTCCCTGGGTAGTCTTCCAAAACCGTCGGATTGTCCACTTGCATGATTGTTCGAAGCAGTGTAGCCAGTTTGGGTGTATGTCAAAATCGGGGACCCTCGCATAAAAACAACGGTTTTCCTTTTAAACCCTCAAAAAGGCGCACCCGGCCTGCCATTCGCTCGTAGGACTTGCTCTGGGACATGCGGCGGCGGATCTTCGTGACTATGTGTGGGCGGGTGGGCATGCAGGCGGAAGCCGCTTCGGCCAAGTTGGACCAGCGACGTAGCCCGCGATGGGTCGCTTACTTGGGGATGAGTTTCATGAGAGTCCCAGTTCCCTGTTGCCAGCATAGGCAAACCCGTGATTCTCCGCTTAGTTTTTCATGGGTGGTTTGCTTGGTTACCTACTATACAGCTAAATGGATCCACTGGGAGTTATAGTAATTTGCAGCCCGAAATGTCGGGAGTTACTAAGCCATGCCTTCCAATGGCTTGGTCATTCACGCACACCCAAAGTGCGAACTAAACCAACGAGTGTAGCCGAGAACGTTGAGTTTCGCAGGTTGCAGGTAGGGAAGAAGTTGAACCCCCCAGCAGATTTTGGGCCATGCGTTGCTTTACTTGCAATCTGGATCCACCACACATGGAATGGCCTTCACAAACCTCCAGGACGACTTGGTTTGCGGAAGTGGCAGTGCACACCGCGGCATGAAAGAGCACTGGGGTCCGCTTCTCGAGGTGTAAATGGACAGAAGGAAACCACCGTTTGAGCTGACATACCAAGGGCCCCCAAAAATAGAGGCTCCGGTTGGGTCGGGATTTGCGGTCCTGTCCACATATGGAGCCCGAGATTCCAGAGGGTCCCGGTTTTGTCTTCCGATTCCTCAGGTTCCATGGCAACAGGAGGGTTCTGAGCATCTGGGGCTTGGTTCTGGAGCCTTTAGACGCCGAAAAGACGCCGACAAAAAGCCCAGGCCACGCGCTGAGGTTTGTGAGAAGCCGCGAGCACCCAAAACCTCCCCAAAAGCCAGCTTTAATGGTGTATGTTTGGGTGTTCCTCCGAAGGGGAGTGTGCCCGTTTCTTTCTTTTTCCCCCTGTTTTTTTTTGGGTTCAAGTCTAATGGAGCCAAAAGATCTGGGCAGATCTTTTGGGGCGCGGACTGCCGGCTGGGTTTTTAACTTGGACATCTGGGAGGAGTCTCCGGGTGGTGGGTGCCTTGGAGTCAAGAGGCTTCGAGCGATTTCCGCGTGATTGCTTCTTTTGAGCCCACGAGACCGGGAAGCGCCTTGCGAAAAGGGGAAGGAGTGCCCCCCTCGACTGCTACTGGGTAACCGGATCTTTGGACCTTAGCTTGTTGGTTGAAATGACGGGGTTTTCCGTACTAAACCCCCCAAGAAGTGGAACACTTCTTGCAGGGGGGTCGTTGCAGCAACCAAGCCCCCCGCCCCCCCGTTTGGGTCCAAGAGAAGCTTGCGACTGCCGCAGATCACATTTTGCGCCGTCCTGGCGTACGGCTACATGTGGTTCAGGGAGAGGACCTCTTGTCAAGCCATCTACTTTCTGGTGGCGCTCGGACTGAAAGTTGGGCTCGGCTCTTTGAAGTTCAGCCCACGTGCGGTGGTGGATGCCCTCAATATCGCAAGCAAACCAAACCATTTCCAGGGTTTCCCTTTTTCTCTACTTGCAATATTTAGGTCCACCGACCAAAGATATGGCTGTGGTTGTCAAAACCCTGATGGGATCCCATTTTTGGGCGGGTGCACCACTGATTTTAGTCTATTTTTGTCGGGATTGGGATGTTCACTGGGGGTACAGGTGTTTGACCCATGGCCATATGGGGGATGCGCTCAATATTGCAAGTAAACCAACCATTTCCAGGGTTTCCCTTCTTCTCTACTTGCAATATTTAGGGCATCCACCGACCAAAGATATGGCTGTGGTTGTCAAAACCCTGATGGGATCCCATTTTGGGGCGGGTGCACCACTGATTTTAGTCTATTTTAGTGGGGATTGGGATGTTCACTGGGGGTACAGGTGTTTGACCCATGGCCATATGGGGGATGCGCTCAAGGGTTTCCCTTCTTCTCTACTTGCAATATTTAGGGCATCCACCGACCAAAGATATGGCTGTGGTTGTCAACACCCTGATGGGATCCCATTTTTGGGGCGGGTGCACCACTGATTTTAGTCTATTTTAGTGGGGATTGGGATGTTCACTGGGGGTACGGGTGTTTGACCCATGGCCACATGGGGGATGTGCTCAATATTGCAAGTAAACCAACCATTTCCAGGGTTTCCCTTGTCCTCTACTTGCAATATTTAGGGCATCCACCGACCAAAGATATGGCTGTGGTTGTCAAAACCTTGATGGGATCCCTATTTTAGTGGGGATTGGGATGTTCACTGGGGGTACGGGTGTTTGACCCATGGCCAGATGGGGGATGCGCTCAATATTGCAAGTAAACCAACCATTTCCAGGGTTTCCCTTGTTCTCTACTTGCAATATTTAGGGCATCCGCCGACCAAAGATATGGCTGTGGTTGTCAAAACCCCGATGGGATCCTGGGATGTTCACCGGGGGTACGGGTGTGTGACCCATGTCCATAAATAGACTAAAATGAGTGGTGCACCCGCCCCAAAATGGGATCCCATCAGGGTTTTGACAACCACAGCCATATGTTTGGTCGGTGGATACCCTAAATATTGCAAGTAGAGGGGTACGGGTGTTTGACCCATGGCCATATGGGGGATGCGCTCAATATTGCAAGTAAACCAAGCACAACCCATGGACTTTTACAGGGTTTCCCTTGTTCCCGACTTGCAATATTTAGGGCATCCACCGACCGAGGTGGGCTAAACGTCTGAGTTTGGGGTTTGCCGCATGTGGAGCTCCCCCAAACGGGCTTTGGTTCTCTTTGATGTCCCTTTGACCCAAGACCAAAAAGCACGCACTTTAATAAAGCGACACCCATTTCGAGGGGGTTCAGCTTCTGTTTGCCAGGGACTTGCCAGTGAACCACTTACTCCCTTTCAGATTGACATGGAGCAACCACAAGCATCAGTTCCAGAGGGTGGTGCCTGACTGGGTCTATGTTTGCGCAGTTAAGGCACTGGTGAACTATCCATTTCTCACTGCTATTGCCCGAGAGCTCTTTTTCTTATCCCGGCATCGATTGATTGTGGTCTACGTTGTGCAGTACTTGCTTCTCGCCATCCTATGCGTGATGCCCCGAGATTGGTCCCGAGTGGGACCAGACGTTTTGGCGTGGGATGGACTGCTGGTTGCCGGCCGCTTTACCATGGCATTGACCTTGGTCTACAAGGATATTACAATCCCTGCGCAGATCTTGATGTCAGCACTGCTGATTCAGCAACCCAGAGACCCAGTGGCCTCTTTTTCATTTTTTTGAGGGTTTCTTTCAATCGCAACAGGGGTGCCCGTATTTGCCCACGATCATTCGAGGCAAAGATGGGGTACGGTTTTCCTGCTTCGCGAGCTGGGAATCTTGGCGACCATCATTTGCTGTTCCACCACTGTGGAGATCCACATGCGCTCGCACATCGAGGTGGTATGGGCCTCTGCGGATTCTGAATCCATGCTGGCAAGCTTCCGCAGGCGCAAAGAAATATGGACATGCCCTTGAAAGGAACACCAAACAAAAAGAACAATCGTTGTTTCAACCGGGTTGTCAGAGAACTAATGTAACCCAACTATTTACTGTAACGGGCATCACCCCCCCTTCTTTGAGGCCCCTGTCCGAAGGCTCCTACGGGGCGCGTGCGATGGGGAGGTGTTGTTAGACAGTGAGATGAAGATCCACGGAGAGCCCGCCAGTCTGAAGCACTTGCTGATGACCAACATCTCGCTGCATGGGAAGTCCTTTCAGAATCTTAGCCATCATTGGGTACGGGTCAAAATAAAACCACCAGGAATTGGACCCCAGGTTTGGTCTTCGGCTCCATCTACCAGTTTTCTTCCATTTTGGGGCTACGCATTTTTGACCCCTCGCCATTTAAGGCTGGGGCTTTCCGTCTTTTGGTTCGCCAGGTTGGGCTCCCTTGCGGTCTCGGGTCGATGAGGGGGGCGGGTTGGTCGAGGAGGGCGGGTTGGTCGGTACCAGAGCGCTAGTCTAAACCCACCCCAGACCCATCCTACGCCCGCCCGAAACCTCCCTAAACCCACCCGAAACGGTACACGCTTCCTAACACCAAAACCCCTCCCAGACCCGCTCGAAGGGAAACCAAGCTGAACCCACTCGACTTTTGCCCTAAACCAACCCCGACCCCCCTATACACCCACCCAAATCCACCCGCAATTTAACCTTAAGCCCACCTGAGCCTAAGGGAACGCCTTCTGCCAGTCCACGCCCAAAAAGGTTAGCCCACCGTTGTTTCCGGTTTGCAAGTTGAGATGATCCGAAAGTGAGCCATACTAATTTCAGATCCCAAACAGTGAATTGCCAAACGCCCCGGAAATTATTGCCTCCTTTGGAAACCAAACGGGAAGACACAACCCCTGACGAGTAAGCCATCCCACGAAAAATTGACCTCAATGTTCCAAGTAGAAAAGACCCCCCTGTCAATTCCCATGGTTTGTGGTTGCTTGCAGTAATTTCCTTTGGGCATCCGTAGCTTGCTGAAGGAGATTCCAAAGGAAGGACATTCCCAAAGCCCTTTGCGATTCACTCGCCCCACATGCCCTCAATACAATGGTTTTCATTGGCCTCCATGGCGGCGGAGGCTTGACATAGCCGGAGTCTCCATGAGCCTTTCAAAATGGGGGGCATTGCCCAAAATGAAGGGGTTATGATTTCTTTTTCTAGGGGTCATGGAGACTCTAGGTAGCCGGCAACTGTGACTTGTTGATTCATGGATCCGTTTCAAAAGCTTTCTCCGGCTATCTCAATGGCCAGGCTGCCCGTGATGTGAGGAGTGTCAGTTGGCTGTGGGTCAAAAAATATGGTAACCCCAAAATGGCTTGCCCTGGTAAATGGACACATGGACCAAAACCTGTAGTTTAGTTTTGACCCGTACCCTGTTGCTTTTTTTGGGGGGGGACCCCAAGTGAGCGGCTGGTTTCTTGACCTATCATTTTTTGGGCCATGCCCACGCAACGTGCTATGCAGCCACTTGCTACTTGCTAGGCATACGTCTCGTTTTCCCGCGGCCCCAACTTTTGCTTGTTTTGGGACGAGACAGCCCAGACTCAACTACTATAGATCCGCCCCTCCCCCCCAGCTCGCTGGTTTGGGGCCGCTGGTTTGGGGCATGGCCAAAGTGTCCTGTTTCGTTTTCCTGTTTTGCTCTTTTCGGCTATGAACTTTAACAGGGAGCCGCCTCAAAAGTGATTGGTGGGAACCATGAATCCCAGATACCTGATGTCCACCAATTAAAAGCCATACCCTTTTCTTGCTGGTGCGATAGGTAGGGAATGAGGGAATCACTTCTATAAACCATGCGCTTCGGTTTCCTTTCAAGGAATCCCGAAGCGGTTCATTCAAATTCTCGTTCATCTATGGCACCAAGTTTTGGTGGGCTCAGGGATATCCTGGACAAGGACACCCAGCTGCGTTTCGCAGAGCTCTTGGAGAAGGAGGACAAGGAGTCCTCCATCCCCCCGTGTCTGAGGGCGTCCTTGCGGGGCTCCAACGACATCAAGGCGCGTGAAACTCCCGCCGCGTTGGACTCAGCTGGGAGGGAGGAAGCCGATTGACTTGAAAAGTCGTGAGAAGCCACCGAAATCCAGCGGCGGTTTGTGGAGCTTGGCGGGTTGCCATCCACAGTATGGCCATGGAGATTTTTCTACATTTTGCCAATTTGAAACATGTTGCTTTTTCAACACCAAAATAAAGGGAACCCACCATTTACAAGTTGCAATGTTCAGGTGTTTCTATTGTAAGGATCCCTAATCCACTGTATGGCCATGGAGTTTTATACTTGGACCTCAAAAGCCGTACATGCATCCGCACCGAACTATGTCCATCAAAGGGCTCGGGACCCAATGCTTAAATTCATATCCAAATGGGTATGGCTCAAAATTAAGGAGCTGGGGCAAGCCGCGGGTTTTAGTCTTTGGTTTGATTTACCAGGGCAAGCCATTTTGGTACCACTTTTTTGAGCCACAGCCAAATAACGCCAGGCTGTAGTCAGCATATTTGGTTGTCAGTGGTCAGGCAGTTGCAAAATGTGTGTGAGGTCAGGGGCTGGGGCAAACAAATGCTTGCATTTTTGACCATCAAGGTTTTGGCAGCCCAAATGGGTGGTTTCCCTTGAGCGTTGGTTGCGTTGCGTGTGTCAAGAGACAAGAATCCATGGCGTGGCCACCGTCAAACCCGGGCCTGGTTGCGCATTTTTGTCACCACAACCCAATAGGTTGGTTAGAGCCTGTTTTACCCCATAGCCATAGTTCGCCATAAAAAGCCGGCGGTGGGTGCTTCTTGATTATGATTCCTCTTACCTACCGAGTATTGCCTGGGATCTGGGCCAATCACAGCACGATATTGGCTTAAACCAGGGTTCAAATCCGGGTCAGGTTGGATTTCCCCGGCCATTTGTCGCTTGAAAGGATCCTCAGTTCCAAAACGATAGGAATCCCTGTCAGGTGTCTGTCGACTTGTTCCATGTCCCCGTCCCGCAGTATTGCGGGGCGAGAGTGTATCACCTCATCGCCTTCCGAGAAGACGCGGAGCTTCCGGCCGCCCAGGTGAGCGACTTTGGGATTTGCCGGTCGGTCGCCTGTCTGGGGCAACCATGAAGTGGCATGCATCTAGGGATGGATCCTTTTTTCTAGAAAACCACCAACAAACCTGGGAAAATGGCTGGTTCTTGAAAAGAACGATGGCTAAAAAGAATCTGGAATCAACCCCTAGAATGCATCTTAGCTACTTTTGAATCCCTGTGGGTTTCTTCCTTTTAGCCACCGGTTCCCCGAGAAATGAGGCCACTAGCACATGGCCCCACATGGTCAGCTTTGTCTGCGCAAGGACTCACCGAAGATCACTTAAAAGGGGAGCCCTGGTTTTCCTGCTGTGGACAAAATCCATTTCGCACCACTTTGAAGCCATGGGACCCCATTGGTTGGTATTCAGGAGGGAATCGAATCATTCCAGGGTTCTTAGGTGGTGCCGGATTTCGTTTATCCAAATGTTCACAATTGGGTCGTGAGATAAGTAGGACAGCTGGGTTCACAACTGGGTCCGCAACTGGGCTGTGCTGTAGTTCCTGAAGGTAGCTGGGGGCTGTTCAGACTGTGCCGGGAAAACCGTGTGGCCCGCTTACAAATTGGCCAAACGTATCAAACTTTGGCAAAGCAAGAGGACTCAGTCCAAAACGGCACTGCAGGGTTTATTTTGTGGGATTTGTCTGAAGAACTGGACACTAACTGCCGCTTTTCTTTCAAGGGGGCATGGGTTCCATTTCTTTGCTACACAGCACCGCAGTGGGTTCATATCCCTCAAAATAGGAGACCAAAATCTGAGTTCTGGCTTTCAGTCTACCTTGCAGTCAACAAATGGAACCCAACTCTGGACAACCATGATCAGATCTTGAAGTTGCCGTTGGTTGTTTTCCAGACACTTTACCCCCAAAAGCAATCGCGGTTGCTAAGACAAACCACAAACCAGGGATGCAGGGTCGCTTTTCCTGCTTTTTTTCTCTTTTCCGTGGTTTAGCATGGACTCGGGCTGCGCTGACAAGTGGGGTCCAGTCCGACGACAGCGACCGGGTGGCTTTAACCATTACCATCCCTCCTACTTGGCACGTGACAGGGGGTCCCGTACCTTCCCACAGGTGCCTTCGGCAAGGGGAGGACGGGTACTGCTACTTCTACTCCTGTTGCTGCTGCTACTGCTACTACAACTTCTCATGCTGCTGCTTCTATTGCGACTACTAGCTGCTGCCGCTGCTGCTGCTACTACTACAACTACTCATGCTGCTGCTGCTGCTGCTACTACTACAACTACTCATGCTGCTTCCGCTGCTGCTGCTGCTGCTGCTGCTACTACTACTACTACTACTACTACTACTACTACAACTACTCATGCTGCTTCCGCTGCAGCTGCTACTACTACTACTACTACTACTACTACTACTACTACTCTAGCAGCTGCTGCTGCTGCTGCTGCTGCTGCTGCTGCTGCTGCTGCTGCTGCTGCGCCGACGACGACGACGACTACTACTACTACAACAACAACTACTACTACTACAACTACTACTACTACTACTACTACTACTACTACTACTACTACTACTACTACTACTACTACTACTACTACTACTACTTCTACCGAACTTCTACCTCCTTATTGTTTTTTCTCCCTTACAGGGTTCCCTTGGTAGGCCCGTTTCTCTGTCTTTTTCCGGACGTGCTCCCGTGAGGTTCCCGAGGCCGGTCTCAGCCGCAGTTCCGGAGGCGAGGAGTTTTTCCCGAGGAAGGGCTTGAAGAAGCCGGAACGGCCCAGGACATGGGTCGGCTTTGGTGGTTTGGATGCTGGGATGGTGGCTTCAACCCCAAGCCAAATGAGCCATGAAGGTTCGTAAGGGAAGCAAGCTAGTTAGTAAGTGGAAACTCGGAGCCCGGCTAGATGAAGGTTGGTAAGGGACATTCCCACAACGCCCTTGCCATATTTGGGTGCCTTCGCCGCTTTTCTTTTTTTTTTTAATTCTTTACATGGTTCTGGGCAGGCCATTTTAATTCCGGTCGGTTTTGATTGTGGCTCAAATGCGGAAGTGGTTCGTCTTGTTTTGGAGTTGGTGCCCCTTTTTTGGATGGCGGAACACTGTTGCGTGTGTTTTGGGGGGGGGCCACATGGGTCCTTTGCTTTGGTCGCGGGTTTGAACCCCAGTTCCTAAGCATAGGTGCCTTCAACCCGTATCCAAACCAAACGTTCCACCTTGGGCGAAGGTGATGTGTGTGTGTGTGTGTGTGTGTGTGTGCGTGTGTTCTTACACGTACCCAAAAGGAGCAAAAAAGGAGCTCAGCAAGAAGGTCCTTTGCTAGATTTCTGAAAGAGGTCTTGGAATTCTTTGTCAAGACTGAAACCTCTTCTTTAGTATCCCGATTTCCGTAGGTGTCCAAAGGGATGTATTGGGTTTTCACAAACACATGCCTTCTTTTTTAAGTAAAAGAAACAACCACCATGCATAGGTTTTTTTTTTTTTTTTTTTTTTTCCGTTGAATGGATCGGTTTCTTCCTTTCATTAGAAACAAAACACAACACATGCACCGGGTTGGGTTTTTACCAAACAAACACCCAATGATTGTACCACAGATCAGGGATTGATTCCCCATTCTTTTCAGCCATCGTTCTTTTCAAAGACCAGCCATTTCCCAAGGGTGTTTGGTGGTTTTCTAGAAAAAGCGGATCCCTGGAAAGAATGGGGAAGTTACCCCTAGAACAGATCTCCGGTTTCCAACGATTTCCAGGAGGTCAGAGTCACGTCACTTCGCAACTCGAAGGGCAGCGGGGGCTCCCGGACAAAGGTTGCACCACAGGCTCTGGGTCCGTCCGAGGAAGAGGCTCCGAGGACAGTTTTTTTTTGTGTGATTTTTGCGAAGGGGTGCTGGAGAAAGGTAATCCTGTAGCTTTCCGAGTAAGCAGGTCAAACACAATGGGGTTTCCATTAGTTTTGCTGGTTTGGGGGGAGAGCCTACCGATTTATGGTAACGTGTCCCTTGCTCAAATGTCCCCTTTTGTGCCAAGTTGTTTCGTGCTGGGCTATTTGGCCATGGTCGGGAAACACTTAAACCCACGGATCCAAATGTTTCCAGATATCACAAACTGCAGTCCCCAAGTCAAAAAATGTTTTTTGCTTGATTCAAAGACCAATGGTTCAGAGATCCCTGAGGTTCAAAAGCAGACATCGCTGATTCAGAAACGGCAGTCTCTGATTCAAAAAAGGCAACCCTCAAAGCGGCTCAGGCTTGTTTGAGGCTCGGTACCCTGTTTGGGGTTGGTTTAAAGAAGAACTGAAAGGAGAACCAATCCCATCCTAATTCAGAATTTGGGGATTTTAGTGAGCTGCAGGGCCCTTCCTCCTGCTAGTGTTTGCTCTGTTTTCCTGGGGTAGTGGTTTCGGGTAGTGGTAGCCATCTTAGATAGAGGGGAGGTGTGGAAAGCAGTTGTACTGACTTTTAGGCGGGGTATACTTTGAGAAGCCAGTTTTTTTTTGTACATACCTTGTCCTTTATGATGCCGGGGGGTTAACATCTTCCCTAGAAGCGCTGGTAGGAGTCAAGGGGTTTGAGCAACCAACACGCGCTTCACCAAAGCGCCCCCGTCCCGTTTTTGAGAAATCAGTTTGACTCCTGGGGCCTGTGTCTGCGGCTCATAGAAGGTACAAAGGTTTGTTTCCTGATGTCCTGGTAGCCTCCAAGAGACCCCCGCTTCCAAACTTCCAAACAAAGAATGTTTGCCTCCTTTTGGGTGGTTTTAATGGGACACCAACAGGAAACTTACCATTTTGGGCGTTCCCTGAAAAAAGGCACACCCAAATACCTTTATAGTTGGTTTAGCTTGCATAATGTTGTTCAACCAGGTCTCCCGCTGTCAATGCCTTTCTCTCTCTCTCTCTCTCTCTCTCTCTCTCTCTCTCTCTCTCTCTCTCTCTCTCTCTCTCTCTCTCTCTCTCTCTCTTCTCGCTCTCTTCCCGTTCTTCGTCGGGGCTTGACCTCATATTCTTGGGTATTCAGGCGGGAGACACATAAACCTCGAGGAAAAAAACAAAAAAACATCGCAGAGCCAAAGGCCAGCTCAGGTGTTGGGCTCTGCAGTTGTTACTTTCCTTAGCACCGTCCAAAGAGGTTGGACCGATTCTCCGAGTTTCTTGAGAGACCCGCTTGCATGTGGAATCTCCGCGAATTCACCGGTGTTTCCTTCTTGGGTTTGTTTGATTAGACATAGATGGGTTCCACTGGCTTAGACTAGGTTTTAGAAGCCATCCACCAGGCATTTTTGTTCCAACATTTCGATGCCGAGGTCCCCCTCCCGGAGCTGAAAGAGATCACGTTGCTCGTGGATTCCGCCAGCCGAACTTTGGACATCCTGCAGGCCCACTTCCGCTTCTCTCGGGTGCAGGCGGGGACCGGGATAAATGGATATTTCCCGCCCATTTTTTTTCGGAGTCCGGGCCCCCCAATACAGGGATGTCGGCTTAGCAATGGAAAGGTGGGGAAAAAGAATGGGGACCCTTTTAAAACGGTCTGACCCGGTTTGAAAGCTTTTGAAGGGAGCTGACCGTTTTTTTTGAATCACTTTTCTAGGGCCGACCTGTTTTAACAGCACGCCCCTTGGGGCCAAGGTGGATATTTTTTTTGGAGGGCTTCTTTTCCGAGGGTTGCTTGAGCCAAAATCCAAGGGCACCCAACACGGCCTGGGGCTTCCGGGCCCCAGCGTTTGAGAGGCTGTGGCCGTCCTGTCCGGCTCAGACCAAGTCTTCATGGGAGTCACAATCAAAACCGATTCGGGTAGATGAAGGTTAGTAAAGGGGCGATCCCCTTGCCATAAATAGGTGCGGAATTCCGCCTTCTTAATCCTTTACATGGTTCTGGGTTCACCATTTTTGTACCGGGTTTTGACTATAGCTCATGGTGGCTTCACAAGTGAAGCTGGAAGCCAAGTTTGGATCTGATCGGAACTGCTAGGATGTACAAGTAGATAGGCTGATAAGTGGGGCGGGGGTGACAAGGCTTGGTTGACTTTATCACTCTAGTTATACCTGCTTACTGCGTAGTCGAGCGGTTGACTAATCAGGGGTGTTCCCTTGTGGCTCCGCCCTTGCGAAAAGCTTCGAGAGGTTTCGCGCCCTAGAACCCCTCAAACTCTTCCACCTACGAATTTTCCCAGTTCAGTGGCACCTTATTGTTCTTGTCATGATGGGGGTCCCAATTCCGAAGGGCCAACTCCAAAGGGGTTCTTTCTTTGGCTTTCGGGTCGCTGGTGGCACCTAATCTATGCTGGTGGTTTTGAAACCCCAAAGCGGACCTCCATAGATGCATGCTTTTCGTCCTGGGTTGCTTTGAAGAACCCCCCAAAAATATACAATCAACTAAACACATCCTCTAACCCCTGGTTGATGACTAGGGGTTGTCTCATGTTGAAGGGGATCTTTCACAATGGGGAAGTTCCATCAAACGAATGGCTTCCCTCCAAAGCAAGCCAGTACCCCAACCCAAGGGGGTTGCTTTTAAAACGGGTCAGTTCTTGAAAAGGGTTCCCATTCTTTTTTCACCTTTCCATGTGTAGTTTTTTCATAGAAGTGTTCAACAACCAACTACACACAGGGTGTCGTGGAACTCCTGAACGCATTGCCCATTTCCGTTTAAGCCACTTTTGCTTGTTTCCCTGGGGAGGTTTGCGTCTCACCAAAAATGGGGAAACTGCTTCCCACCATTCCCTCAATCTAAGATGGTGGCCACTACTCCAGGGTAATCGGCGTGGAAGCTCTTAAGCACAAGGCATGGCCCAATTTAAGGCTACTTTCTAAACAGGGTAGTTTGTATCCAGTTTCCTGGTTTGAGCCACGGCCTGGTGGTTTTTTTCTTCCCCGTTTTCTTTGCTGCCCCCAGCCGTCCCCGTAGCCTTTTGGGCTTTTAGTTGGTTTAGTGGTAGTTTCAGTATTTAACCCACTAAAAGTTATTCACTCTTAGCAGGGGATCTGAGGGCAGCCAAGTTTTGAGACACCCGCTTGCATGTGGAATCTCCACCCATCACAGGTGTTTCCTTTTTTGGGCTGGTTTGATTAGACATAGATGGGTTCCAGGCATTTGGCACAAGCCAGCCCCGTTTTTTCATTCCTTGCTTTGCTTTGCAGAGCCATGGAACCTGTCGCGAAGACTGAACCCTCCCCAGAGGAATCAGTTGCGGTACAGATGACCCCGGAGCAACAAGAGCTATGGCAGAAGTTCATAAAGCAGCAGGACGACTCCTCATCGAGCATTCCCCCTCCCCTGAATCCAAGAAATCCAGAACTGAGCCCAAGGATGAAATGATGCAGGACTTCTTAGACGCTCTCTTTGCTATAGAGATGAATGGATGGAACTTGACCCCTCTTTGAGACATCAGCCCCCCTCATTACAAGCTTTGCAAACACCACCTTTCAGTTTGGTTTTATAGACGAGGTCAAAGAATGTACCAACCCTTTGAGGAAACTGCCTCCTCAAATCTGACGGGACTACTGCTGGCTGCTGGAGCCGCCAGAGGCTTGCCTGGAGACCACGGCCGGTTCATGAAGCGCTATTCCAGCGAGTACACTTCCCTTCCGAAGTTAACTCAGGCGAGTGGTCACGAATCCCGCGGTGCGCTCAGCCATTCCCCCTCCCCAATTGTTTGTCTCCAAGAGACCAAATCCAAGTCGACGAAATAAGCACAAAGCATTGCCCCACCTACACGATTTCATCCCTTACTCCTCCCGGATTGCCGCTATCATTCTCAATACTAAACCCCATCGATTTTTTCTCTTCTCCATATACGCACCATCCATGGCGCAGGACGCGGCCAAGGATGCCACCCGGAATCACTTCTGGGACCCCCTCACTTGTATTTTAGAGGACTTTCCAAGGATGTCACCCCAATCCTCATGGGGGACGTTAACACACGTTTCTACCCAGATCACATCCTAGCAGTAGCAGACAGGATTCGGTACCGCCACTTTTGCTCGTCGATGACGTTACATTTTACGCCTTCAACCTCCCCCTTTTTTTCCTAGGTTTTATCGCTCATCACGACCTTTCCGTCGTGTCCTCCTTCCGTCCCCGCCCTCTCTCTTCCTTAGTCACACATCAAGAAATTGCTACACCTTCCACTACCAGTACTACTTCCTCTCACGCGGTCCTCGACCACGTTCTTGCGCCGACCAGCGCCTTCTCATGATTCCAAACAGTCAAGTCTGTTCCACAATTCCAGCTCCCTGGTTCACCGTCACTCCTTGGTCGAGCGACCGTTAGACTTCCTTTGTACCCGACACGGCAGCGTCCCCCTTGACGTTTATTTGACTCACCCGCTACCAAAAACCTCTTTTCCGATACCATACGTAACCAACTTCTTCCGCCCGCCACGCCCACTGTTGGCACACTTCACGTCTACGCAACGGCTCCTGCCCGAATCAAGAAGCCATCGGCATCGACAACCCAGCAGGCTGGGGCGTCTACGCCCATGCTGACACTCTACACTTTGACCTGCGCGGCCCAGTCGGAGCCAACCTACCATTTCCCATCACTGGCTTAAGCAATTCTGCCGACCTACAAGCCATCCTCGAAGCTACCGGCTTCGTTCTCCGCACTTTCCTGCACCCCCGCGACGTACACTTCCACACGGATTCCACCTTTGTTCTTCACTCCACCACTGACCTCGCCATCCCTTCCACACATCAGCCTCTCTTTCATGTCACCCGTTCCCTTCTTCCCCAACTTTACTCTACCCGGCAAATCTCGTTTCAGAAGATCAAAGGATACTCGTCGCACTATGGCAATGATAGAACCCTTCACCGATACCTTCACTCCCTTCAATACATTGCGCTCAGATACGGCATGTCGCTCAACCCGGAGAAATCTCAACTAGTCACCGTCAATTCTAACCAGCCGGTTTACTTCTCTTCTCTTGTCACCCATGACGTACTTTCTCTGATTCGGTGGTACATTCCCTACCACCGCCACCAGATACCTAGGGGCATGGCTCATGCCTACCGCTCCTCCCTTTCGGATGTCCGACAGCGACTTTCCCAAGCGACTGGAGCCGCTAAGGCCCTAGCCCCTTTCCTCCACCAAGAAGAAGCTCCACGTTTACATACAAATCGTTCCATCAGAGGAGCGGTGCTCCAACGAATTCCTTTCTTCCCAGAACACAGAGAAGCAGCATTCGAGACCCCTCCCCCTTGACACGATTTTTTCACCCATTTTGGCAGCCCCATATCACACACTCCATACGCCCTCTAAACGCCCATAGTTGCCACTTGAATACGCCACTCTGGAGAACACTGCATCCACTCTCTTTGGACAGATCAAATGGGCAATCACTAGTAAATGCTGGCATGCCAAGAAACTGAACAGAGCAATGTTGCGTGCTGCTGTCTTGTTGCCGTTTTTTTCATACGGTGGCTTTGCGCGTCGCAAGAAAAGTAGATGGGTTCCACTAGTTCTGAGGGCAGCCCCGTTTTTAGTTTTTTTCTACTCGAGGACTCTGAGGCCTGGATGCCGAGCCTCCACGGGCTGCTGCGGCCCACGGACCGGGCCACCATCTTGGCCAAGGTGCTCTCCTTCGCGCAACGCTTCGAGGACGGAGCGCGCGAAGAAAGCGCCCGGAAATTGGGTTTGCGAAGGAGTGTGTGAGCCCCAAAATCACCCCCTAAACCCCCCCCCCACCCCCAGTTGTTTTCTCCAAAAAATCCCACGCGGCCATAATGTGGGACATGGATCACCAGCCATTTTTCCCCCAGGAATTGAGGGCTGCAAGAAAGCAGCAGCCATGCCAGGTTCTTTGGAACACACCCACGCCCATTTTTTTCAGATTTGTTTGTGGGCGAGTGTTCCTCCTAACGTTTGGATTGACTCATGTTTCCGTTGAGATTTGGGAGAGCACTTTGGGCAACGTGAGTCATGTGGCATTTGAGAACAGGAAGTTTATAGAACAACAACCTGGAGTGTTGGCTGTCGAGTTCCTGCTGTTCTTGCTGGCTTTCGGCTCCGAACCTCGTGACCACATCGCAAGGGTAGAACGCGGGCCCCTTGGTTTTGTAGGGCCTGCAAAACCCCGATCGATTGACGTGAGGCTAGCAACCACCCGTTGGACACCAAATCTCCGTTTTTTGCACTTGGGCGTAAGAGGTGCTCTACATTTAACCTACAACCCCCCCCCCAAACCGGGGAAGCCCGGGCCCCGCTTCCCGAAACAAATAGTAATAATCAAAAACAACAGCCCAAAAACAAGAACAACAACAACAAAAACGAAAACAAAACGAAAACAAGACAAACCCACGCCCGCCACCTGCCAGGAGGGTGCTGTGGAACCGGAGAGACTGGCGGCCTGGTGCTTGAAGACGCCCGGGAAGACGTACTTGGGCGCCGAGTTTGTGAAGCTCTCCGGAGCTTCCAGCGGCAACCCGACGCAAAAAAACAAACACACGCACCGAGGGCATCGCCTTCTGCATTTGCGTTGTTTTTGTGGTTTTTACTAAATAATAAAGACCCAAAGCCCAGTTTTAGATCTTATTTTTTTTTTTTGAACCACAATGTAAGAATCACCCAACCCTGCGGTTTTTATTCAAAAGCAAACAACACCCAAACACTATGGTTGTTATATAACAACCCAATGCTTTTGAAGGAGTTGTTTTTTTCTTCAGGGATGCGCAAGTGGAAGATTGGGTTCCGGACATGGATGCACGGGGTGAAAACCGAGAAGGGAACGTGATACCACCAATTTGTTGTAGCACTTGCCAATCATGAAAGATTTGCCTCAAAGCGAAACACCCCCCAACACGAACAGCTGGAACGTGCTCAAGCACTGCTTGACGAGAGCCACTGACATCCTGATAGCCGAGGAAATTGCAAAGGCCACCGTGACAAGAGCAAATTTCTTCATGGCCAGGGATGGACAGCGATATAAGGAGAATCATGCGCAAGCAAGCGCGAAGGGTTTTTCGGGATGCGCGGGCTATTGGGTGGAATTCTTCCGATTTGTGATCAACAATTGAAGAAGCTCTTCGGTTTGTTGGAGTCTTCAGGAGTTCAGCTGAAAGCTATGGGGTCTGTTCCCTAGGCTTCGGGGTGGAACGCACAAGGGGCCTTTCCGAAGCTCCTTTTCCGGGGATCCGAGCAGTGGGGAGGTTCCAGCTTGGAGGTTTCCATGTGACGCACGCAGCGTTTCCCGGAAATGGTTGCGCGCAAATGTGGAGACATGCTGTAGGGGGATATGACCTGAGCTCATTTGTAGACTTTGGTTCTGCTTTGGGTTGAATGCATTTCATGGCGTCGTGGCGGGCAAAGTGCAAGTTTCACCTTTGAAGCCTCTCCGGCATTGGACCCAGGTGACAAAGCGTCAACTCTTTGGGTGCAGCTGGCGGACTTTTGGCAGACCTGAGGGCCTGACTTCCTGGCTGTGAGGTCAAAAGATGTCTCATGAACCCAGGCGTTTGCAGGCTCTGGGCCATTTTGTAGGGGGCCGATTGGCCTCCGGGTGCACTAGTCGATGCGAAACTGCAGTCTCCAAGCTTCATCGCTTCCGATGAGCAATCCAAACAAAGGTCACTTTGACTCCTTTTCCAGCGCGGCGCGTTGTTTTTCGCCCGGCAGAGAGTGTGGGCCAGCAAAGAAGAAAATGTGAGGGAGTCTTGAGAAGAGTCTACATCAGAGTTCGTGAGAATTCGTGCAGAAGAGTCATCAGAGTTCTAATAATTGCTTGCCGCCACAGTGAATTACATGTGAAAAGGGTGGGAGGGCACACCCCGTTGAACTCCATTCTTGGCCTTCGGCGCCTAGATCCTGCACTGGTTGCCAAGCGCACGGTACGCCGGGGGGGCATTGCAGCGAAATTTGCGCCTCTTTGCAAGCGACATGCCCCCCAAAATGTGGGTGAAATCGGATTCCCCGTCCCCAAACTCCATTGATGAGTCTGGAGAACATGGATCCCAAGACATTTGGCTGTGGCTCAAACAACCGGAATTCCAAAATGGCTTGCCCTGGTGAGTGGAAGCATGGACCAAACCCTGCGGTTTGCCCCTTCAGTTTAATTTTGAGCCACACCCATTTGGGGAATCTCCTGATCCTGCTGCACTTCTTGATGTTCCGTGTTGAGCGCAGCCACCAGTGCTCGATCCCTTCGCGTTACGCGAAAACCGCTCGTCGTTATCGTCTGAGTGGCGTGATGCAGGCAAGCATGGGGATCGCATGCGTTGGTCTCTCGTTTTTGCTCTGGGAAAACCCCCCCCACACACAAAACATTATAGGGGTACCTTCCCCATTCTTTCCAGGGATCCTTCTTTTCACGAAACCATCAAACACCCAGGGGACATAGCCGGAATTTGAAAAGAACGATGGTTGAAAACAATGGGGAATCAACCACTAGAAGCATAAGCAAAGAGAGGGGTATTGACCTATGTTGACCTTAGAGTGGCTGCCAGGCTAGTTCAATCTTTTAGGCGCCGATCTCCAGCTTGACCGCCGAAGTTCGCTGGAGTGCCGGACAGGAGGAGCATGAAAGGTGATTCGAGAACCCGGCAGGGACGAGCACAGATCCCACGATCAAGACTTCACTCAGCAGAGCACCAGACTTTCCGCTTGTTTCTAAGGGTTTTGGTATTACACCTTGGGCACACACCCACTGGGTATTGACCCCATTTAGGCGCATGTCCGGATAAAACCGTGTTATTTTCAACCTTTCTGGGTCATTTCTCAAGGGTGTAATCCCAGGGTGTAATACAAAAACCCTCAGATTGTTTGTGATTCACATCCCTCAGGCGTTGCTCAATAGGGATGGGCAGTGGCCATTCGGCCGTGACGTTTTTCACAGAGATATCAAACCCTGGGGCTTGGCGAAGGTGATGCTGTGGACAAAATCCATTTCGCACCACCGTTCAGAAACTCTGGAATGAGTCGATTCCCTGTAAATACCAACAAACCATTTTTTGTTTTGTTTTACTTACCTTGGTTTCAAAGTGGTGCAATATTTCGCAACCACTCGCAGTACTCCTGAAAAAAGAACCAGCTTCGCCAGTTTGCATGTCTCGAGGTGGGGGGCATACGCAGGACATCTTCCATGTCAGCAACTTCCAGCAACCAGGGACGATCACATTTTGCTGAAAGGAACATTTTTTGTTTTCCCTTGCTGGTTTTGAAGGGAATCTATACCTACCGGACACATTTTTTATTTTTTCCGGGCTTAAGCAAACGGATGATCAGGTTTTGCCCAGCAAGTTTGGACGGCCAGCGCCGCTGATGTGCTGACAAGTTAGACGGGTTTGTGAGTCACAATGGGGGAGCCCGCACAAAAAGAAGCAAAAAAAACAAAGAGGAGCTTTTCCCTCGATTTTTTGCTTGGGTGTCCTTTGGATTTTTCCCTGAGGTTTCCTTTGGATTCCCTTGGGTTTCCCTTTCAAACTGGCCTGCCACAGGGTACTCTCGGCTGCACCTTGCCGCTTTTGCGGCGACTGGGAGGCCGACCGGTCCTTGCCCGATGCGACGGTAAGCTTTGGGAACACGAAGCTGGCGCGGGCGCAGGCGGGGTGGCGGGGTGGTGGGGTGGTGGGGTGGTGGGGTGGTGGGGCATGAACTTTAAACTTTTTGGGAAGACCATTTGGCTGTGGCTCAGAATTTAAGAGCTAGGGTTACGCAGGTTTTGGTCCATGTTTCCACTTACCAGGGTTCCATTTTAGTACCGGTTTTTTGAGCCATACCCATTTTAGTGGTACAGAAAAAGTTTGGACTTTTTTGGGGCCATCCACTCAGCCAGTGAGACTGTGGTTGGAGCGCCATGCTGCCTTTTTCTCCAGGCTGTTGTTGATCTAAGAGTAATCGTAGTTCATGGGAGCAACTTAGCAACTGGCAATCCAGGTGCATTCAGGCGTACCATGCGCATTCGTGTGATTGCGGCAAAGGTGTGGTGGCAGTAGCTATGCACATGCTAAAAAGGTGCCGATACAGCAAGAAACCAAACAGCCAATACAGTTCGCACCTTTGGCATGCTCGAGATCCATGTGTCATTGAGCTTACCATGCCTGTGCTGTCAACCCTTCAGGTAAATGGTGCTTTTGAGAGAAGTGCACAACCACTCGTTGGGTGCCCCGTGGCATGGGTTCCATTGCACATGGTTTCCTTGCAGGTGCTTGCCACAAAAACCAGGGGTTTGCCTTAAAATAGGGGAACCCCCATAGGTGTCCTTTTGGGTTGTCTTGGTGGAAAACTAGATGGCCCTGGTTTATGTGGTGGCTTAATCATCTACCAGGGCCATCTATTTCCCCTAAATGGGAACCGCAAAATTGAGGGTTTCCCTCTGAATGGCCGTAGCTCCAAAACATGGAAGCCACAATGGCAGTGGCAAATGGAACCAAGACTACCTGCGTAACTCTCGGGCTCTTTAACTTTGAGCCACACCCAAAATGGGTGTGGCTCAAAATTAACCAGGAGGGGCAACCCGCAGGTTGTAGTCCATGTTTCCACTTCCAGGGCAAGCCGTTTTGCAATTCCGGTTTTTTGGGCCACACCCAAAATGGGTACCAGCAGAGCAGAACAGAAGACACAGGGTCTCCGGTTCCCCGGAACTAGATTCATTCTCATCCAGTTGCCCGCCACTCGGATGCCCACGAGTTCGCAGGGAGATTTCCTGAAACCTTTGGTGTCATTTTGATCAGTGAGTTGCATTTGGGTTCCACCGGTTTAGACGGGGTTTATAAACCATTCACAAGGGCCAGAGAGAATTGGTCCAAGTCGCCTATGCCAGTTTTTGTTCCCTTCAAATTCCCCGAAAGATTCCCAGGAGTGCTTAAAGTGCATGGCCAAACTTCACAACAGCGAGCGAGCGAGCGAGCGCGAGCGATGGCCAAGTCCGTGCAGGCGGACTACTTCATGCCGGTTGGATCTTTGACCTTTAAGGTTTTGGCGAGATATATGTTCAAAGAAACTGCAAAAACACTCAACAACCTACAAACCATTTCTTAGTATCATATTTTTAGTGATTCATTTTCCCACTCACCTACAGTTGCAAGAAATGGCAAGGGTTGTCATGCCAGCAAACCAATTGCAGATTACATTTCACAGGGATAAATATTGCCATTCTACGGGTGTGTTTGAGCAGAAACCATGGTCAAGACCTCCTGGGTCCCTCAGAAAATGTGCCTTGAGTGGATTACCAACATGGTACTTGCCGCGATTTTCCCTCAGCGACTGACACCGCGCTCGAATCAAAAGACCATTTCTGGGATGGGTCCCCCGCACACACACAGAGCCACACACACAGAGCCATAGGGAAGAATTGGCAGCCATACGGGGCATGTACTGCCAACAGTTCCCTGTGAGTGTTTCTCAAAATAGGGATCCCCCCTTTTGGATGGTTTGAATTGAAACCAAAAGGACGTCACTCACCTGAAGGAATTGGTTTTCCAGAATATGAGTTCAGCGCCAATGCGTTCCCCAAAGCCCTCAAGCTTTGCAGGACAAGCGTTGACATATTGGGCTTCCCCAACAAGTGATGCTTCAGTCCAACTTTGAGAAACACTGATCTGGCTCCATATCTGGGGATCCAGTCATGACTTCGTCGGCTTCGTCGGCTTCGGACTGCCGCCGGACTGCCAGGCCCATGTGCACGACATGCACGCAGACACCATGATGCCAGCCCGCCCAGGTTTGACAAGCCGAGCTGATACTATCGAGCCCGGAATCACAAGCCCGGCACTTGCTGTTGAGGGCGTCCCTTAGTGCGGATTCCTTGCTTCTAGGGACTAGTCAGGGTCTTCATCTCCAAGGACAAGGTCCTGGTAAGGCTGTACTCGGGTGCAAGAGATGATAGCCGCCCCTCCCCCCCCTCCCCTCGGAGGTCCGCGAAGGTTTGGCTCAAAGCCCCGTGTGCAGATGCCTCACTTGCCAAGTTCTGAGATGGGTGAATCCCGAACGCCAAAGAATCATTTGGCCTTGTCTCAAATTGGACCCATGAAATGGTGAGTGGCCTTCGGTGTCGCTGAAAAAGCAGCAAAAACAAACCGGGCTCCCCGAACAAAAGCTGGCTTTCGGGAAGCAAAGGAGTAGGGGGATGTGATTTTTTTTGCCTCCCCCCCCCCCCGAGCAAATGAGCAGATGGGAGACGCACCAGTCAGCTTCAAGAACGGCCACACGCATCTTACCTTTTTACCGGACGCCCGGCCTCGTGACTCCAGCCTCGTGTTTTATTGAATGGCCTTGATGACCCAAGCGCTCCCTGAAAGTGGACAGGTTAAAAAGAACGACCACCATGGAGCCAATCATTTGGATGTTCAACCTACTCTTGCGGCGCCAGGCGCCAACAGCACCGGGCCATGACCGGATCGATTTACGGCCATCCGCTGGACGGGGTTCGGACGCTGTTGGGTCCCCGACATACGTCGACATAGGTCGACATAGGTCGACATGGGTCGACATACGTCGGCTGCCAGCAACTCATACTCCAAATAGAATCAACCCCAAACAATCCATATAGGTAATGTATATATATATATATACACCAGCATTTGACCCATTTGAAGGTATACATGGATTTGGGAAGTCTCAACCACCTCAACCGCCAGAAAGAAGTTCTCCAGAGGTCCTTTCAGCCAGAGCAGCCGGTGATTGCTACTGCAGGG